ATGAAAGGGAATTAGTATTTGGAAGAATTGGAATGAAAGGGAATTAGTATTTGGAAGAGCTGGGATGGAATGATGAGATCCATGAGAGCCCAAATACTAATTCCCTTTCATCATGAGGTCCATGAGAGCTCATCATGGATGAGGTTGACTAATAGAGGGGGGTACCCCACTATTAGAGGGGGGTAAGGGGTGTATGGGGGGTACCCTTTCTGAGCTTCTCAAATTGCAGATTTCGATAGAGTCTTAATAAGGAAAAATGAAAGAATTTTCCTAGAGAGTTTTTGGAAGTTCTAGGAAAACTGTTGCTTTGGGAGAGCATTGGTAATCAATCAGAAGATCAGTTTCACCATGGCAAGACAAGAAAATATTGAAAAGGCAAAAAGAACAAAACTAATTAAACACATATATATTTAAGTAATTATATTTTTCCTGGTGGGACAGGGGGTAGACTAATAGGGGTGGTTTCAGCCAAGCAAAATTTTTAGTATAGGGTGGTGACTGTGGAAATTCATAGTTCAAATTAGTGTATTATTGGGGCCTGAACGCTGGGTAGACTAATAGGGGGGGGTTGCCTAATCCCAAGCCAACATTAGGCATATATTTCCTTATACAGGCTCCTCCAAAATCACAAATTTTAGCACGGCACAACTTGGATTTTTTGTCCATCTCTTTTTTGAACCTCCCTTCTCACCGGGAACCAGTTCGGATATGCAAAGACCTCGTTGCCAACTTCAACGGTGATGGAATTTGTTGGGGCTGAGCTCCAGAAAGACACACCCTCCAAGGACATGACTTGCAGTTGGTGTGCCGACGCCTGTGGCAGTGGCTCACCACCGCGGCAGAGTTGTCTGCGGAGGAGACGTTGAAGAAGCAGCGGATGCCTGGTGCCGGTAGAACGCGTGGACGAAACGGGCCAAAGACCACCGAGGGAACCAGACCGCCGAAGGGCGGCGACGAAGCGCTGGCACCGATGCTAGCACCAGGACACCATACACCATCGGTTCGTTCCATTTGAAAAGGAACCCAAGCTTCCCTACCTAAACAGCCACGGAAATCCCTCAGTTGCCATGGGGATTCCATGAATCTTTCTCTTGAGGTCCCGGTTCATGCCACATGAGCTTTGAGATGGAGGAATGCCCAAAAAGAAAGCTCTGCCACATGAACTTGTTCAGAGAAAAGAGTATTGACCGAGGCGGGTCTTGGGATTTGAAGAATTCGAGTGAAGACAATGATCTTCTTTGTCAAAACTCTCAGCTCACGGAAAATGTATACTGCGGCCGAAAGAGAACCTTTTGCCGACTTTTACGGTGTCAATGTAGTCCAGTCAAAGTGATGTAATGGTCCGAGAAGTTCAAGCAGGTGGTATTTGTGGAGCTGAATGCCTTTGAGACGTGAAGCCAGGCAAAATATCAAATAGACATGGACCTGTCGTGTGAAACATGTTTTGGACATGTGTGGAACTCTTTCTCGTCAGAGCTTCTTGGCCGAGAGACCTTCGAGTGATTTGGAACTCCACAGGCTTTGAATGATTTTGAATGGCTTTGACCTAAACCCAACAAAGGATTGATCAAACCATATCAAAACCTCACAGTTTTTGAACAAAACATGAGAAACCATGGCGTCTCACATGTTTTCAAACAATGATATTATATATATATATATATATAACGATACTGGAACATAAACCATCAAGGCTCAGACCCCCAACCAGGTCGCTTCTCCACCCCAGGTCGCTGCCACTCTCTCCGCTTCATCGTCCGAACTGGTCCTACCCGGTCCCCCGCCGCGCCGGTCCGGTCGCGCGGTGCCTCGACTCCGACCACGCCGAGGACCTTGGAAGGCTTGCAAGAGATCCGGCGGACCAGCTACGTGGTCTCTTGTCGCACCTTCGTCCACATCACCGCAGGCATGGGACGGAACCTCCGACACGGAGTCCGCAGCGGGCGCGGGACGGAGGGCAGGTGGCGAGTGCACATGGTGGAGCACATTGGTTGTTGGAGTTGGTCCTTTTTTGGGGGAAAGATCCCAAGTCAACATCCCCTAGGGCTCCAAGTACCTCCTCAGAAGGTGTTTGGACCCTCCTGGCACCCACCCCAAACACCTTCTCAGAAGTTACTTGGAACCCTAGGGATCAGAAGACATCAGATGCCAGCACCCAACGTTTTCGGTCACCCATTTTGCTGGTTTTGTTTGCATAAATGATGTGATTGACGCTTGAGGTCAGACAAGGCCCTCATTACCTGCAAGTTTGCATCCTTTAATCGCCCTTGGCCCTTGGCCCTTCAGAACCAGCAAAATGGGTTTGATCTTCTTCAGGTGCTGAGGCAGCCAAGGTTGGTGCTTTCTGGGCGGGGTGCCTCCTGTGAATGCCTTCATGATTTTCGATGGACAACAGCCTGCTCCAAAAAACTCCCAGGATGGTGTTGCGCACATTGAATACGACCCCGCAGAATGGAAGATTCCCAGTATACCAACGATACCATTGGGGTAAACCACGCATCTTGCCAGTACGTTTCCCCCCAGCCAGCTGCGCTTCTGTCACACGCCCAAACAACAGACGACCGGGCTCATCCACCATCGCCCTGCTTGCGCCTCCAGGCAACTGTCTAGCACACGCAACCATGTTGTTTTGGCCGCTGGGTGAGCGACGTGACGGTGGACAGAGCTCCGAAACTGGGAGGTCGGGACCGGTGACCGGACTCCACGTGAGGTTCACCGAGTGTCATGAGCCAGGTGATCCACCCAACCGCTTTCGGTCAGATCATTCGGCTAGGCTACCCTGTCTGATTTGGACACAACGACCCCTGACCTGAAGCACTTCCTGAAGTGCCAATTCATGAACATCAAGACTTCCAGTTCGCCTCGGCGAACTGGGCTCCGGTCGGACCCGGACGTGCCACACGCGCGGTCTCGTGGGGGAGCTTTGCTGAGCAAGAAGTATCGGGTGAGTAGCGAAGGGATGCATGGGTTGGTGGACTGTTCCACCACCTGTTTACCGTCAGACTGCTTCTTCCAGTGCCCTCCCACTGGGTGAGCATGGACTGGGCCGGATCGGAGATATCCCCGACCTGGCCATCCGACTGAAGAGAACCACACTGGGACAGTGGAGTTCACCCCCTGTTCGTGTATGAGTGTATAAGATCATGCGTGTTCTAAACCACAAGCACTGGACCAGCCCCATGTACGCTGGTCGAGTGGAACAAGCCCTGTTTGTAGAGCAAGAAGTCTTCCGGCCTGTTTTCCACTTCCATGGGATGTGTTCGTCAGAGTGTAATCAACTTCTCAGCCCAAAAGCTTGGGGCTGACGAACCGAAACAAGAGCAGGACAAATCACAAATGGCACCCAATAACTATATGGATGGAACTACACCATATCCTATACCTAGAACCTGAATGACCTGCATGTTGGACCAGCGACAACCCTAAATGTTGGCCAAAGTTCCTATCTAATACAGGGGTCAAAGAGGTTCTAGGTCACATGGATGGTTTGGGTGCCAAAAAGTGGCGCCCTGTGGATATTTGGGAGAGAGAGAGGGCTGCTTTGTGCCTTCACGCATGTAGATTGAATCATCCAATGGCTACCGGATCCAGGTGATTCATGGTACTGAAAAGCTCTCAAAACAGGGTCTCTGGGGTCGTCTGCTGGTGGGTCAACCGATCCTTCAGTCCTGTGCAGTCCGGGCCAAATTCTCAGGTCGAAGGACCCGCATTTGATCCCACAGGTGGGTATCATGGGCTTGGTGTACTTGCACCACTTGCGCCACGGCCGCACCACCGATGAGAAAGGGTAGCAACGCGTTGCGCGTGCCAGTTTTGCTGGGGTATAGCTGGGTTGGTCCGAGCTAGGCATGCCAGTTTTGCTGTGGTTCTGAGTGAAAAAATCGACATATCATTTTTAGGCCAAGCCTTGTTTGGGTCAAGGAGAGCAGCAAGAGCTGAGCTTTGCGAATCAAATGGTGTTATTTCCCCTGGCCCAATGAATTCACACAGCACATGAATTCAGACTGCGCCCGTTCTCCAACACGATACTTGGGAGGAGCTTAGGCAGATTTAGGCAATTTCCCTTGCCGGATGCGCATAATTGCTTCAGTGTGCAGCATACAATTTACTATACCAAGTGGGCCAGTACCTTTCTGGGTCCCGATGGATGGATGCAAGCAATAGCAGCTTGCATACAGCAGCAGCAGGAGTAGGAGTCGGAGTTGTCGTAGTGGAATTGGCATATATACGAGACTCCCATTCAACGGCGAATGCTTTCTGACGAGGGAAGTCCAACAGTAAAGCTTTTAGATGCCAAAGGTCCACAAGGAAAACCCAGGAAAACCAGTAAAGACCCAACCGTCTTCCTTTCCATGTATCGAAGCCGCTTAGTCACCAGACCGAAGGCGACCGTGACCGACCGGTGCCGCCCACCGGAGAACGCGTTCGACGAAAAGGACCATTGCGAGCGGAACGTGGCAGCCCAGCATCAAGCACATCCGGTGGTGTCCTGGCGTCCAGCCCCACACCAACCGCGTGGATTTCCATGCGGTTGGTTTGGGTTGGCTCACATGGATGGAGCCCAAAAAACGGCAATTTCATGGTAAATATATGTCCTAAATATACATAACACATGGGGGTTGAGATGTGATTTCCATGATCATTAGCATTATTTTAGCCTTTCGATTCTTCGATCATCAAGGAAAATACCGAATAATACAAGTCTCTCTGAACATGTCGACATGAAACCGTTTCTATCTCGAAAGAGGGTCCTTAAATCATACACATATATTTTTTGTATATGTTGTCGACATCTACTAGATACGCATTGATCTTGGTGTTTTCGTTTGCCACCTCAGAATTTGTTGTGACGGTTGATTCTTGCTTGCATTGGCTCAGCTTCCTGTTTCTGACCCTTTGCAATGCCAAGGGGTGCCAAATCACAGCGCACACCTTTGTAGGCTTTGTGTGAAATTGTTTTGCAACACGCATGCTTGTAACAACGACTATACGCTTCCGAGCACACATGTTGAGAATGTCACTTGATTGATGTGTTCAGATGTCCAACGTGTTTTTTCACTTCGAAATGCACTATGCACATGTCATTTGAACTTCAACCTCCCCAAATCGTAGAGGATTCATCGTCGGACCCGGTCCAATGCTGGCATATCGCCGAAATCAGCTCCACCGACTGGAGAGGTCCAGTCGGCGGATCCCACCATTGGCCGGTCAAGCGGCCGAGGTTTTCTTCGACGATTTACCTTTGGCTTCTGGGCCGGTACGTAAGGAACGGGAGTACGAAACGGTGTGCAAAATCAACCGCCCAAAGCTATACTTGCTGGCCGATAGGGTCCACGGATAAGGGAGAACTGTCTTTCTGGGGAAGCAAAAACAACCTTAAGATTTGGGTCACACAAATGTCTAAAACTCTTGGTTCAATCTTTTTTCAGGTGTCGCTCGGTCCTATGATTGAAGGTCAGGTTACCAGTGATCAGTTCTGAGACTAGGACTTTAATCAACTTTGCTTGAACAGCTCTTCCGATTCAGTCGTTTTGAAACCAACCTCATTGATATTCATGTCCGACCATGCAGTTTTGGAATGACTATCTGTATATGGCCATTGCAGGAGAATTTGCAAGATGCAATATTCCACCAAACGAGTGAGATTTTGTTTGGAGCGTGCTCTTTCCAAGCAGGCTCCTGCCCCGTCCTGCCTAGCTTGGAGAGGGTTGGATCCCTGGTCCCTTCACCTGGACCCTCCAAGAGTTTTTTTCCTGGTTACCAATTCGGATATCAGCAGACACGTGTGTTTTTGGGCTGGGCACCGTCGCGGGGTCTCAACTCCTTCTCCTATCGGCCTTCAGAAGCCAGTCCAGCAGGTCGTTTGAAGAGTGACCCGAAAGGCATTCGCAGCCCTATGACCCGAAACTTTGACATTGACTAAGCACCTGGCAGACTAAGCACCTGGCAGACATGCACGGAGGAAACCTGTAGTAAGCATCTCTGAACCCTTTCGGCAGATGCTGAAACTCCCTTGGTGGATGCACGGACTTGCGAGTCTGAGCGCGTCCACACCAACCCTTGCCGATATTCAGCGGGTTTGGGTGGGGTTGTGAAACTCTCAGCGGAGGGGTGAGAAAAACACTCCTAAGAAACTACGAACGAAAGGCATGATGTGGCACGAAGTAAATTGACAGGTCAAGAGTGTCACCATTCCAAGAGAGAATCATGAGTTATCAAAAGAATGCACCTAATTGGCGTCAGGATGCGAGAATTGATCTAAGCCCTTCTTTGTGCGGAGAGCATTACGAATGCGTATCTGGATTTTTTGTTGTTTATCTGGGTCTGCCTCAGGCCATTGTGGCCACTTATTTTCGTGCGTGTAATTCTCCAAGGACGGTAGTGGGACATTTGTATTGTATGGTGGATAATTACTTGGCATTGTGAGAAGAAAATCTTCGAAGTACTTATAAGTCTCCGGTCCATTGGGGAGTATTGGTCGATATGCTACACCCCCTTCATGATCCGTGGAGAAACCAAAGGAGATCAAACTTTTGGAGCCTTGCTTCCGATAGGAGGGAATAAATGTTGTTTGTGAGAAAGTTTGAATATGTTATCTGAAACTCTCGGCAAGATTACGGACTGATCTGTGAGCAGGGGGCAGGAGCTGAACTTTTGGGTCATGTACTGGATATGCTCGCCAACCTTTATCAGTACGCACTTTGACTGGCAACTGCTGGCCAGACCAGAGCATAAAGGAAAAGGCGAGCTCCTCCCATGATATACCACAATCACCGCGTTGGCGAGGTGTGGTGTCAAGAAGCCATTTAAGGAGTGTCAGGAATTGCCATACAAGGCGGGACATGTTAACCCCCACGTACAGGACCAAAAAACTACACGATGCGGTTCAGCCGGCATAGGGTGAGCATCACCCGGCACGTTCCATTGTTGATAACTATGAATGCAAATGGCCAACGGTGAATTCACGGGGGTCCCTTCTGGAAGGGCCTCAGAGGCCCTGGCAACTGGATGGTTGCAGGGGTGCAATTGCTTCAACCGCCACCACCATGGCATAGAGTTCCGCACGATTAATCGTCTGAAGTCCTGTGCAGTGTCCTGTTGCCAGGACCTGAAACGTTTGTGATTGATAGGTCTGGTTGGTAGATTGTTTAAGTACAACAGCCCACGCAGCTCGCGAGGTGTAAGGCTCTTGAGGGTTATCACATGAGCCGTCTGTATAGAGGATCATATCTTCACCAATGTGTGTGATTACGAATATGCAATGCTTGACGAACAAGTTCAACCTCCTCTGCATGGACAGGTAGCGGAAAGTAACATAATTCTGGCCACCTACGCAGTGAAGTGACTGCAGTTGAATGCTGATCTCGGATGTTCTGAAAGGCTGAGCACTCTAGATATTGATGAGAGTGAGTATCAGGCGTTTCACACCACTTACATTTTGGATCATGGGCAGCTGACCACTGCGCTATGCCTGCATTGGCTTGCCACCCCGCTGTCATGGTGAGTGCCAGTATGCGTCGTTGTCTATCAGTAAATTTATTAATGAGTCGACGAGTTGTAAGGAAATCGAACAGCTGGGCTTGGATGCCCTTACGGTGCTGAGTTTGTTTATGGCAAAACCAATCCCAAGCAATTTTTAACTGGTCTTTGATTTGACAACTAGAGTGCATACGAAGATTTAACCGGAGTCCACCTGGGCCTAGAAGAGTTGCATTAGATGTCAATTCCCAACCTACCTGCGAAAGGTAGGCTGCTAGTGCAGCGGCCGGTCTTACCCTGATATGCACGAACTGCTTGAACCATGGCCAGAGCTTGGGTCGGGTGGTAAACGAAAAACCGGCGCAATGTGGTGACCAGGTCTGTAATCACATAGAGAAGTGGGTCCTGAAGACGAGACGTGAGATAGTGGACGGCAACATAGCTGGAGGCATGTTTATGGTCACCTACTAGAACTTTGCTGCGGCTCGCCTAAGTGTTTCAAAATGCTTTTCACCAATTACCTGCCCAAGGGCACCGTAAAAGACAGCTGGCCAGATGGCAACTTGCACTTTCTCTGCACGATCATCCAGGTCGAGGTTTAGTTTTCTTAGGCGGTTACACTTGGCGACCGCATTGTCCATTTTATCTTGAATAGGGCCAAGGACAACTGCATTGGAATAGTGAATCATACATCCTAGATCATAGACATTATTTTTGATTTGGAATTGAAAATCTGTCTGCATGAGGAGAGCGGAAGCATGACGCCAAAACTCTCTGAACTGTTTAGAGGTGGCCCAAGCCCAAGATTTGGTAAAGTCTATTTGCATGCGGAGTGCCGTGATAAAATTGAGAATTTTTTGTATTGCCCCAAAGGCGGCGCGTTCTGACGTGGTCATAAATGACAAGTTATCAGCATATGCGAATGGTCGAAGTTGTGGGGATGCGATGGTGTGATGAAATGCAAAACTTAATGCAAGCATTCCTACCACGGACATAGAGTCACCTTCAGGCAACCCTGTCGTGGACTGCATCGGTGGTCCTAATTCTTTGCCAATCTGGAGTACTTGGGTAAGTCCCTTTAGTGATTGGAACCAGCATTGCGTTGCGGTTGTTGGAACACCAAGTTGTTGCAAAATGAACCATACTATTCTTCGAGGGATCAAGTTAAAAGCTTTGACGAGGGCCATTGTCCAGCCAGCCCAGGCGGTGCTCTGTGTTTTAGCTTGCTCAATTATTAACAGTTGCTGGAGGCTGAGGTCTTGTGCAGATCGATTGGGAAGAACTCCACTCAGTTCGGGCGGCCAGGTTTGGGCCCATTGATGAAGAATCTGATCTGCGACTAAATTTAGAGGCTAATCGAACAAGGTATCCGAGTATGGTAATGGGCCGGCCGTGTGACATGCTCTGGGGTTTGGCACATTTTTCGAAGAGCAGGGTACGCGCTTGCATCTGTTGGAAAGTGAGTCCATGGGGCCACATTTTTTTGCAACAAGGTGGAAAGGTCAACCACCATGGTCCAAGTGAGCTTATGAAGTTCTTCCGAATACCACCCGTCTGCGCCTATTGCTTTGTGAGTTTTCATTCGTTGAATGGTATGCCAAAGGTGGGCTGGATTATCAAGAACAATTTGGACTCTCGGTTGTTGTGGGATGATGTTGGAAAGCTCATCAAACAGGTCTTGCCAGGGGGCATTAGTATCTTGTTCCTGTGGCAAGTCTCGAAGCCAAAATCTGGACCAAAAGGTCTGAAAAATGGACGACATACGGTCAGTATGATAAGCTTGAGTCTTATAAGTTATCTCTGCTTTTTGTAGGTAAGAAACCCTGGACATTTGATAATTGAATTTTATCATTATGTTGTGTTACCACGGTGGCTGTGCTGTCCCCAACAGTAACCGTGGCACCACTTGGAATGGTGATCGATTCATGGAGTCGAATAAGCGGTGCGTCTTTCGTGCTGCGGCACAAGGTATACGGTATGGATCTAGCATCAGGTATGTCTTGTAAGAAACTTTGTTTTTTTACTTTTTAGATATCTGCAGGCCACTGCATTGTTGGTGTGCGCTTTGGCAAAAGCTATGGAATGCTTACGATGGTTCTTACGAAGAATTTGCTCTTGGCGAGCAAATGCGTCTGCATCGAAACGTGTAATTTGCAATGCCAGGGTCAGCCATGGAATATCAGGGATGTCCACAGGAACATAATGTATAAAATCAAAGGACAGGAGCCAGGCTGACCACGAGCGACCATATCCCTGAGCGCGGAGTATTGCTTGCCATTCTTGTTGCACTTGTCGTACGTGATTGGGTATGGAGGGGTTTTGCTGACAAGCAGTGAGTTGACGTAGAAGAGATGCAAGTCTACGGACTAGTCGTGTTTTGAGACGTGATTTGCATGAAGTGGATTCTACCGGTGGATTGTATCCATGGGTTGGGTCATGTCGTGCTGTTTGGGGGGTGGTGTGTGTCACAAATTTTGTAGGTGCACAGCGACCATAGTACTTCTTTGGAAGCGCATGATGGGGGTTTTGAAGTGGATCATCAGCATGTTGCTGTGCTACTGTTTTCTTGACTGCGTCTTACACCCCCTTGGACCAAGAGTGAAATGCGGCATTGATGTTTTCTTCATTGGTCAGGTTTCCAAATGATAATGGTGTTCAAATATGGTGGGGTCAAGTGGGAGATCCCCCCAGCCGCATGTCATGCACCAACTACGCGTTCCTGTAAACCGAAATTGTACGAAGAGTGGGCGATGGGAATCATTTCGG